TGTCGATGAAATGAGTCGTCTCCTAACAAAGGACATCAACATTAAGGTTGCGTGCATAATTTGTGTCAGCGTTCCGAGCGACTAGTAAAGTATAAATACCGATCTAGCTGCTCTTGTAATCCACCAGAACCCGCACTCTCTTTGAAGAACATAGATAGCCATTGGAATTACCAGTATTCTTTGATGATTGTTGTTGCATAACAGATGTTGAGCGTGACCTCGCTGACATAAAGAGGCAGGCCCAGATATGTGAGCATTCTACTACTATTTTACCACTGAACACATTTGCTAAGGTGAATTATCCTTGTAAGCCCAAGACAGCTCACTTAGAAGAACTCTGCGGGACCCACAATACTCCCAAAGAATCAAAAGGCGCATCCTTCCGCCACACTTTACTGATTGCTTGGAATGGTCGAAACGCTGCCTTACGCTCAAAACCCCGACAGTAAGTATGAACGCAGCCTGACGTATCGGACTGTGGACCCATCTTAGACCGCGCGACCCTTTACACTCCGAAAAGATTGAAAGACTGTGTCTCATAGGCATCTTAGCGTGGGAGCTTTTAGGCTTATTCTGACAGTATTGTATAGCCTACGCACGCACAGGCAGGTGGCCACTCTAAAACATGAAAATCTCGCAAACAGCTGTCATAGGTGCTCTTTAAAGTTGGAGAAATTGGTATTTTGAGTAGTTTGTCTTCACCCTCCCCCTCCCCCCAACCGTGTAGCCAAATCGTTTTTATTCGCGTTATATATCAGTCCCTCCATACACTGTACATTTAAGAGTTTCTTTGAAAAAGAAACCCAGCTGGAGTCCATTCTCCGAGAAGCGAATAAAAAGATGTGTTTGGAAGCGAAGATCTCCTCATCTCCGCTTGTGATAGGTTTAAAAAACCAACTTGAGGAAATCATGTACTTGCTTCCAGTGCTTCGAGTCACCAGAAGAAAGAGAAAACCCCTGCAAGCTTCCTGCAACCGTACTGAATACATTTCTCCGATGAAACTGACCGGAAGCTGATTTGCAGTATAACTAGCCAATCACTTCCCATTGCGAAGAACAAAAAGTCTGTTCCTTCTACCATTTCCGGCAAGTAACATTCTGAAACGAAAAGATAATTATTTGCGCTTTGTCATAGGAAGCCCTCCAATCACGGGTTATGGGAGTAGTGACCCAAGAAAAAAAACTTGAATGTAATAGCTTGAAGAAAGAACAAGTGTAAACCGCGGACATCGGTCACTTACACACGATAATGGTCACGTGAGTTGAATTGAAAGTGAGTTTCTCCGGCAAATGTTGCAGAGAACTAGCAGACATGGCTGGCAGTAAAACTACGCTATACCAGTTACAGCTCTTCTTTCAACTGGACATTCTCCCGCTGCAAAAGTCCATATGTGTTCTCTTATCGCATCTGCTGGCTAAGCACTTGAAGGAAGTAAACTAAGGGACGAATAGAGAAGTAAGGAAGGAAGGGAAAGGGAGGAATAAAGAAAAAAGAAAGGAGAAGACTTTGCGATGATATGTAGATGGAACGAGTCACGTAGACTACTTGCACGAGTCACGTACGCAAGATCCGCAAGGACCCAAACCTACTGGCGAGGCATCTCTCAATAGGATGCTCTCTCGCTGCGAGGATGCAGAGGTGCTTCTCCAGGTTACAAGACATCTGTCAACCGGATGCTCTATCGCTGTGAGGGTCCATAGCGTTTCTCAGCGCATCTTCTGGCTGGGTAATAAGAAAGCGGGATGAGACAAGGAAGGAAGAAAAAGAACAAGGAGGAAGGAAAATGAAGGAAGGCTCCGCTTTGACAGATGTCCTGAGACCCAAATTACTCGACATAGCCGCGACGACTCTCTCCGCGTCTGTATCTCCTATGTCGACTAGCTCTCTCTCTGTGTGTCTGTAGGTCTGTCACCTAGCCAGGAAATAATTGCTAGTGCGCGCGATGCCGCGACCTGGAGCGGGCATTGAGTATCCAAATGAAAAAAAAACAAAAGAACAAGCCTCCAAAATAATGTATCAAGTGGGAGACGGATATGACAGTTGTGACTTGTCGTGTCGTCACGCGTGGCGTGTCGCGCGTCGAACTCTCGAAGTGCAACATTTTGTCGATTGGGGCCGCGAAATTCATTAACCCAAGCGGAGGAAAACTCCATGGCGGACTATATGAAATTTTCCCGTCACTTAATCATGCAAGTTCAAATGGCCAGGCAGGACAACTCGTCTGTTGGGCATGGCGTCGCTCGCTACGCCCGGTCTGCGAACAACTCAAACCCAGTTCATTAACCGCGCCGACTTTCTGCTTTTCCCTGCGCTCTCACGTCTACATTGTATTGTTTTGCCACAGTTACCTTATAAAGCCGACGCCTTTTCACGCCTGATAAGTGGCTCATCAACCCCGGAATCCCCTTCCCCTGATATAGCTCACGCCCTGGCCTGCGATATGTTTTTTGCAGCTTTTGATGCCTTGGCAGCCGCAATCCTTTGTTTCTTTGCGCTCTGGCCTTTCGCGCCAGGACCATCACGAAAAGTGCTAGTTGTCACGTAACCGCTACGCTCACCAGCCAGCGCGGCATACTATGATTGTCTTGTCACATACCCGTATCAAGTGACAATTTCTCAAAACAGCACATCCATATATGTATGTAATAACGCGCTTCAATGCAAAGTCTGCGGCGCGACTGCTTAATTTACGGCATTGCTCATTGTGGTTTGAGTTCTTTGGTCGACTGAATCACAAGAAGTGGGAATTTAGTCGTGAGTTCCAAAGGTTTTGCTTTTCCAAAGGTGAGGGTCCGTAGTGATGTCCGTGTTTTCTCGTTTCTTTCAGCTCTTCACTGAGCGTTCCTCAACATGTTGCTTATAAGTGCAGTGCTGTTTTCAACTATTACTTCTCAGGACCATGGGCTTGCTGACGAAGGGCAGTCCACTAAGCTGGCCGGAAACTGTTCCTCATCTTGAATATATAAAGGTGTGTTTGGCTCAGAAACACCACGTTACCTAGTTTTTTTTTCGGAAACTTCGTGTGGTGCCTTGTTCTTACAGTATTCTGCGATCATCAGATAGTGCTAGTGCTTCGTTGTATTTCATAGGTGAAGTCTGGGTGAAGCGCTCTTTCGAAAAACCTTTCAACTGCGGAGGATCCTAGAGGTGTCGCGTTGGTTGCCTTTATACTTTGCGTCACCGACCACCGCGTCTAGCTACTAGGGAATAGGTGTCGACCTAACGAACGCCGGCGTCCATCAGAGTGCAGCAGTGTTTTCGCAGTGGTTTTGCTTAAATCCAGAAGTGCCCGCGAAAGCTGGTGGATGCTGTTAGACGCTGGCACTCGCTAGGTCGATATCTACAATTCCCTTGTCCCTCGAGGTGTTGCTGGACGCTGATGGACGCTGACAGACGCTGGCGGACGCTGACGCAAAGTATGAACGCAGCCTTATGCTACTCCGCATCTCTATTTTGTAGGCCTAGACTGCATGTGGATGCTGCTATACCTAATAGTTTTAAATTCTTTTCAAGGTGCTAAGCGTTTTAAAAATCATAACCTGTCCACATGTTCCAGCTTTTGTTCAAGCGAATTCTGTTTTTTTTTCCCAACAAAAAGTAGTGGCGAGCTGTTTCCAGAAACATGGCATTGCACAATTCATAAACCTGTATCATCGCTTGAAATCACGTCATGGAGATCAGTTGAAGTGGGGAGATGAAATCGAATATACAGTTGTGAAGTTCGATCATCAAAACAAGAAGGTGACTTTCATAAGTCCATTTATCTGTGGTTTGTTTAAACGTGAGTACCTCTTAGGTGCGCGTGTCATGTCGTGCTGAAGAATTGTTGAGCCGACTTCAAGCCCAGGAAGAGGTACGTCGTTCTATGTAATGTTTCTCACAGTATTTCTATCACCCTTTTCCCTCGTTCTGGGACACTTTTTGCGCCGCAAGAATTTTTCGATAATTTTTGATTGCAAAGTTGAAGCGTGAACTAACATAATGCTTCCACTAAACTGTATTTGAATAACCAAAATTTTCTCGCTAGGTTAATGCTCTGCTCGGTACTGTTAATCACTTTCTATGGCGACCAGAGTTCGCTGCTTACATGGTAGAAGGAACTCCTGGAGTACCGTATGGAGGTTGTTCTTCTTAAGTCTTAGTACATATACGATTGTCGATTTTTCTGAATGTTCAGGACTCCTGGCGTGCTTCAATGTTGTAGAAGCCAACATGATTGTGCGTCGTGTAGAGGTTCAAAAGTTCCTGAAAAAGGTGAGAAAATAACTTTTTATCAAATTAGTATCTCTACAACAAAGACTGGTGTTACTTCAGGGAGAATCAATTTTATCTATCTCATTTCCTGCTTTGGGCACGCCTGATTTCACTGATCCTCCAATGGAGCCCACCCCTTATAAAGAAGGACCTGGTCAAAGCATTTTCTGGCCTGAAGATGCGGTGTTTTGTGGTCATCCAAGGTGCGTCTTGTCATATTCCTTTGGTCTTTTATTAACTTCTCAATGCTTCTGCTTTTAGGTTCAAAAATCTCGTGAAGAACATTCGCGGGCGTCGTGGAGAAAAGGTTGCGATCAACGTTCCTATCTTCAGAGATAAGAACACACCCAATCCCTACATTGTATGTTATTCTTTGTTCAGACCCAGAGATGACTCTTATTTTTACATAGTCCTGCATTTATCTTCAGGAGGACCTATCAGCATTGGGAGAGGGAGATATGATCAGTGCAGCAAAGCCGGATCACATCTACATGGACCACATGGGATTCGGTATGGGATGTTGCTGTCTCCAGGTACTACTGTTTGCACTTCTTTCAAGAGTTCGGTTTGATTTGCTTTCTAGGGTGTCTCCTTTGACATGTTTGAGACAGCTATACTCTAGTTCGCTGCGGTTGGTAAGGCGTGTCAGGCAGTATGATTGTGTCACGGCACTAAACCAGTTCTCTATCACATGGTGAAGCGGGTATGCGACAGCAGTTGCTGGAAAGCGAATGATACGGCCGATGATGCAGTCATATCATTTGCTCGCTTCAACAACTAGTGGAGAACGGGTTTGGCGCCGTGCCAAACTCGTCCCGCCTTACATCCGCAGCGAACAAGGCTGCATAAGGAAGTGCCTAGAAGCATTAGAAGTAGATCTACCTGTCTAAATGTACGTTTTTTTCACAATAACTCATATGATGTTGTGTTGCTCCTACGTTGAAATGCAAAGGTGAGGCAGATTCCAGCCTTCCCACCACCGGAACTGCTTATAATCTTCATTCGAAAACAGTTCGAACTGCCTAGGTCATTAACCTTTCCTTCATGTCATTGAGGATTCGCTAAAAGGCTCACCAGAAAAGAAAAAGCCAGTCATCATCGATAACGTCATGAATAAGGACCCCTCGTGCGGTCGTAATGGACAGCAAATCTATAGCTTGCGGTCTGTAAGCATTCCGTGGCTTATGAGTAGTTTCATCGCATCATACAGTTCTTGATGCCACTCAGTACTAGAGGGAGCGAAAAAGAAGTAGCAAAGAAGCGGGGCTCGTAACAGAAAAGTAGCTTGCCAAACTGCAATGTAGTGCAGTTCCTTCTTGTGGAATGTTACAGCTCTACCGGCACACTGCAGCGGCAGGGGAGTGCGTTCGCACATTTGCGGCCTCACTAGTTCCCGTTTGCAGACTTCACTCTAGTGAAACCTGTGGGCTCTTTCGAATCTGGGGCAAGCTCGTCTAGCCACCATGGTAGAAAATGTCAGTTCTTGTAGCCTCACAAAATGGCTCTGGGATGGGCCGACACATCGATGTCAAAGGTGCAAAATGTTCTTCTTCCCCCCACCTTCGTCACCGAACTGCCCCTGTTCTACCTTGCCATGTTGATAATTTTGGAAGCGCATGTGCTCCTATCTGACAAAGATTTTTGAGCGAAGCGGAATGACCAATAAGCGCGAGCGCGGTCAACAAACATCAACCTACCAGCGGCCCCTGCGTAGGCCGTGTGTTCTACATACTAACTACCTACTGTACAACTACTTAACTGTGAGTTAGCGAGCCTTTACTGCCTGCAGCGTCGTAGGACGCTTCAGGCTCATGTGTTCTCCGCAGGCCCGAAAAGTTGCAAGACAGGCGTTCCTGGCGCCTTTATCTCACTTTAGAGTGACGAAAGCGGTGCTCTTTTCGCACCAGTGTTGTCAGTGGAAAGTGTGAGATGGAGACGCTAGGAAACTTCTGGTTACTAGATGCGAAGAGGCATTCCATACTTGTTTGATCGCGGGGCGTGTCTTTCAGCATTAGAAGCTTTTCATAAGTTCGCTGAAATACAGCCCCGCGCTCAGCCACATCGTAGGGGTCCTTCCTGGTTGGAAGTAGTCTGGTCGGCAGTCTCTGGATTTGTCCTTTTTTCGCGGCTTCACTGAGAGTAACGAAGGCGCTGTGACCTTCATAAGACGCCTCCTGCCGAGTTGTCCCGCTAACCAAAACTCACAGACTATTTTGTCTGGTTTTTGAACCGTGTTTTTTCGTTCTTTTTCCACTGTTAGATGGCATTAGCAGTGGATGACGTGAAGAAGCGATTAGTGAGCCAAAAGCGCCAGGATATGGCTTTGCTGACATGAAATGAGCTGGTCTAAAGAACTCGTACAGTGAGGCTGCAATTGATCGTTAGGGTGTTCTCCACGATTTTATGTTTTTTGCTTTCTCCCTCCCCTGGAGAGTCACTTAGCGACTTTAGATCTGTAAGTGAACGCCAGATATGCAATCGCGAGGGTTGTCTTTAACATCCTTGATCACTGCAGGTAACATTTCAAGCCGTCAATGTCGATGAAGCGCGATGGCTTTACGATCAGCTCACGCCCATTACGCCCATATTGCTAGCTTTGTCTGCGGCAACCCCTATCTTCAGAAGCAAATTAGCAGACGTTGATTCTCGATGGGATATTATCAGTGCTGTGGGTATTTTACTGTTATCTTTTCGCTCCCTTAAGCATAGACGAGATTCCCTTTTTTTAGAGTGTGGACGATCGCACGGCCGAAGAGCGCGGACTAGTTCCACTGAAACATTCGAAATGGAATATAGCCAAGAGTCGCTATGATACAACCGACTGCTACATATACCCATGTTCGGTCCCTTATAACGACATTCCATTACAGTATGATGAAGCTATATACCAGTACGTTGCAGTTTCGAATATATTTCTTTTAGCTGGCAGTCGCTCTTAAATGCGTACTGTTACTGCTTCTAACCATCTGCTATAATTCTCCTTTATTTCTCATCTAATTTCAATGATAGTAGTCATGCACTGCCGCTTACCGTGTTTGACCACCCCTCCCCCCTTTCCCCGGTAGATAAAGCTGTATCATCACAGGTTGTGCCAATGTGCTCCTGCGCAGGTGTTATCTGTTTTTTGAAGACACACTCTGCGATTGAAGTCGTCGGTATTGGGTTCAAGTACAAATTTCTAAGTGTTGGTTGAATCACCAGTGAAGAAAAAGCAGAAGAAACGGTCGAAAGCGCCTCGAATAATGCCTTGTTGGTTTTCAGAGCTGGATGGGCTTGCAGCGAATAGGGACACAAGCATCAATGAGGGACTGGCCAAACGTTAACGAGAGCCACCGAGCAGCCCCATGAGGGCGAAGAAATCAGTCTAACACTTCGCAGCATCGTATGCTCACAGGCATCTACCCTTGGGGCAGTGTTTCTGGGAATCGCTAGCCCCTAGCTGTCTTTGTAACGCATTTTCGACTGACGAAAGTGAAACATTCTAAGCTGTTTTGGTATGCACTTCTTCGACTCGTAGAAGATCGCACCTCTAAGGTAATCGCGGGATGTGTCTTTGACCGTCAAATTAGTATTGTACTTGAGCCGACCAAGATTGTTAACGTTTATTAGGCCAACGTTTCGGCTTCCTCGCCTTCGTCAGAGCCTGAAAGAGTCCGAAACAGTTGTGATTTGCTCTCCCAAACGCCTTAACAAAAACTGAAGACCCTTTTGAGAAACTGGTAAACAACCTAACGGTATCGATCGGTTAAGATGACTCGGCTTACCTTTGATCTCCGCCGCGGAGACGCGAGATCGACCACCCGGCTTGCAGTAATGCTTCGAGTGAGAATTCCCTCTATCCTCGACCTCAACCTCGACCTCATGTAGATCAAAACCCACAAAGGTCGGAGAAGGGCGCGAGTTCACGGGTTATGACCACACACTCCTCTTTCCTATTCATTTTGGGGTCTTTAGCCGAAATCCACAATGCCTCCAATGTTTTCCGCGCTGCGATCTCCGGCTCCTGCGTCAGGATGGACACAGTCACCGAAATCGGACACCATCGAGATAGTGAACACGATGAGCACCCAGCGGAGTTTGGATTTGCGATCTTCGCAGACCATCCAAGTGTTCCTTAACCCATACGCGCAGGGGTCGTCCCGTTTCTCCTATATACTTTCTTCCTAGTTGTGTGATGTGTTGTGCATGACTTTGCTGTGGATGAGCGCTCCACGTTGAGCTCGATCGGCACTTTAAACTGATAAACTGATTCAGGCAGTTACGCGATGGCAACATTGACGAACCCTTAGCGAAGCATATCGCTCATATGTTCATACGTGACCCGTTACAGGTAAACGTAGCTTTATCGTTTCTGTTTTTGTAATAAGAAACTAGTTGAATCAATCTCAGTTTTTCTCATTTAGTGGACAAGCATTCGTATGTGCTCAGTCTATCATTTTTTTTGTATATTTGCTGTGTAGAGACTCGACAGGAACAATTTAGGAGAAAGTCGGCAAAAGGGGAAGGGATATTTCCGGCCATTTTGCAGAAATGATAATGAACCGCTCTGCACAAAGAAGTAGATGCACGTATATCAGAGTTCCTTCATCTCTAGACGTAGCCAAATATCGTCCGTAATGCTACAGCCCTAGTTTTGTAGAGAGTCTTATGAAATGTTCTTTTGTCCTCAACCAAAATAGGCAATCTCTTCTCTTTGTTCAGGTGTTCCGCGAGAGAATCGAGCAAGATGATGAAAAGTCAACAGAACACTTCGAAACAATCCAGTCTTCTAATTGGATGAATATGCGTTTCAAGCCACCTCCACCAGATGCTCCTGAAATTGGATGGCGCGTCGAGTTTAGACCGACAGAGGTACGTTTCAAATTGTTTACTACAGAGAACTTCTTTCATCATCAATCTTTGCGCTACATCTTCATTTCTGTTATTTCATAGTCAAAGACAGCTGCACAGTCACTTCTGGCGATCCTGGTCCTTGCCATGTGCGAGGAGAATAGGTCAACAGTGACAGTAGCCTGCCATTTCTCCGCTCAAAAGTGCACGAAACAGCTGGATATACTGATAACTGGGTGCCGTTCCTGGATTTCTACCGCGCTGTCGCACCGTTCTACCACGTCGATCCAAAGCCCAACGCCCTACTTTCCTGCGCCCTCTCACGTCAGAAGTTCTCTATCTCTGCATGTCTTCACTGGGAGATTTAGGTGTCGATACAAGTACTGCACCTTGAAGATAGCAAAGTCGGAGTCCCAACCAGCACTTGGGTATTACTACCTTTCACCATTATTTCCGCGTGCTCTGAAATAACGAAGGTGTTACCTTGTACAGCCGCCAAACAATTTCTTTTGCACATGGGAACCTCCATCCTCGGAGGCAAATGTACATTTTGCCTTTTATATTTTCTTCTTATTCGCCTTATTTTGAACCTCAGGCCACCTTTGTACACACCCTCCTCGAAAAATAAAAGAGTCTGCAAGGAGGATTACATTTACTGGTTAATGGCTCCGCTATGGAAATAATATCTGGTCCGTTTCCACACTACTACCTTACCGATGACATATCAGTCGACGTGTACAATTTTTCATGAATTCCCCAAAAACGGGTCGTGAACATGGTCTCACCGATATTCTTTTGTATCTTTTTTATTTTTCATCATTCGTTCGCTGTTGTAAGGCTTCCATGGAGT